CTTGTGTGGCTTTTTGAGGGAGCTTGATCTACGTGGTCAGCCTCTTGGAGGCCCCTGAAGCAAGTTGACCCGAGGCTCACCCTATTTAAACCGCAGCCACACCAGCTTAGGGTGATCGGTGGACCCCAAAGGTCGACTATCCCAAAGGTTAGTTAACATCTTTCGACTTCCTAGTAGTCCGCGCCCTTTGAACTTTCTTTGTAGGTTGAAATAGTGCTTGATCGGATGGTTTCTCAAGTGCCTTTTGTCTTTCCAGGCTCCGAGGAAGGTGAAGGCACCGAAACGTCAGCCTAATAAAGTTTGTTAATATCTCGGTTGTACAGCTTAAAGAGTCAATTTCAAACTTCACTAGAGTGTTTTTTTACTTCCGTTCCAGGTCCATTTCTTGCCATTTATCTAGTCATTATAAGCTCTCTAGCGTTTCAAAAAACCCCTAATTTTACCTGGTTGAAACCCAGCAGTTTTCCACGTCTGTTCAAAGTCAAATTAGGCAATTAAACAACCGAAGAATAACAAATAATAGGCTGAGCAATCGTATCACTCCGTTGCTCTGGTTAGAAACCCCTTCACTGTCCATTTAGAAGATGTCGATGAATTTATAAGCCATTAGCTTTATTCCGACCCGTTCTTGCTTCTTAGAACTGACATTTGACATACATATCTGACCGTTCTAAGGCCCTCAGGGGACAGCCAGTCGTCCATCTACGATTTCCACCTCAACCCTTTCCTATTTTTTGAGCTACAACTTTTTGTGGCTTCCCCCAGATGTCTGCCTTCCCTTATAAGTAACGTCCCTTTGGATCTTTCATGGATCATCACAGTAGAAGAAATATGACTCGTTGATATTAGGGTGCATCCATCATTCTGAATGAAAATGGTAACGTGTCATACAAGGAACATACCATCTCCACCATTCTGGTAGTCAGGGATCGCGCCTTGTCCAATTGGTAGTGATGGCTCATCTAAAGCAATGAATTCAAATGAACGGAAAGCCAAATGAATAACAGTCAGGGAAATAAAAAATAAAGAAAAGGAAGAAAAACAGCGAAGGAGTACCATTGCAATAGTCGCGGTGGTGACACATCGTACAGTGTGCTGCTGAAACTGCATACGGTACAGAGGCACAATTCGATGCGCAACCCTTGTGTGTCACTGAAATTGAAAGGTCCTCTCACAGGAGCTATACTCTTTGTTCAATTACTGATCTGTGCTTGTTTAATCCACTGTTCCCTCACTCAGTACGTATGTTGGCATATGGCCTAAATGGGGCTTCCTGACCTGAATCTAATGGGAACCGATCCGAGTCTTTTCTCAGTTGAGATGATTTTCTAGGCCATAAATTTCGACGAGAAATGGTCGTTGACTACATCTACTCACGGTGATAAATTTATGGGCAAGTCGAATGCCAGCATTAATTCGAAGCAAAGACAATTTTAGGGAACTTTAAGAAGTGACTGGCCGAAAAATTGGTAACAAAACTTGCACTCTTGTGCCATGGCGAGCCCGAGTGTGTACTGATACCATCTTTTTTATATGATGAAATTAAAGGCACAAATCACAATAATTTTGAGGTACACATTTTTAATCAAAAAGCGGAAGTATAAGTTGGGAATAATTCAGCGGTAGTAGAGAAATAATAAAGCTCCTCAAAAGTAAGAAAAATAAAGGTTGGCCGAAATTGCCATGTTGTTGTAATTGTGCAAAGAGCTGACTACATTAGGCCAGAACCACACAGAACTGCCCCTCTCTGTCGCTGTGGGTCATGACAAGTTGTTTGAAGCCTACATGGGTTCCTTCCTGTTCGATGCACATTCTACAGTACGGGGGAAACTCTTACGAGGATACACACACACGATGCAATCTTTGAGCCTTTACAGCGCCCTAACCAGACCGTTTTCCCACCTGATAGCGCCAGATATGGTAAACGAGGGTACGGAACATTTCCCCGAGTTCCCACCGCCTGCGGCAGTGGTTCTGCGGCGACTCTCCGTGTCCTTCCATTGACAATTCAAATCCTTCCCTTCATAGCGCGCGACCGCGTGCGGCGAGCGCGACACGCCGTTCAGGGAGAAGATGCCAGGCTCTGTAAGCGAGGGAGCCTCGAATTCATCCTATGGGGAAATCTCAAAAGCTATTCTTATCGTGAACTGTGCCTTTGATTTTATCGAAGCCATAAGCTTGGACCACGACAGCATAGTGTAGAGACAGATCAAATTAATTTAAGCTCAAAGTGGCCAATATACGTTTGTTCTTACCTATGCCTTGATTTCTAATGGTATAGCATTGCATGTGAGAAGGACATTTTTCATACATCTCCTTCGAACAGGAAATATTACCATCGCACTTTTTGCACATCAACGCGAAGCCTGAAAGTCAACTACACTGGTTGATGATCTCAGTAATTATTTGTAAACACATTTGTTCACTATGAACAAAATGTAAAAATTTTTTATGGCCTATTCTCTACAATTTCTCGTTCATTTCACCAGCCCCTACTTGTTTAGCTCCATTGGGTTCTTTCTATGAAATTTTTTCAACGAAAATTCTTGTTGAGATTCTGTTGCTGACGGTAAATCTCTTATTCTCTATATATCCAGCGGAGCGTCCCATATGTATCATTCTACATACCTGATGGTGTTGTGGCTTCCCCCGACCTGTTAAAGGGCCACGCCTGGTAGGGCGCGCGGGGGTCCCGGCGTGAACAGCGTATCGGCGCGTGCACGTCGGCTATACTCGACGCGTGCTCTGGCTTGAAACCATCCGGCAGTGTGTCCGCATTCGTCGTCGCATCCGGCCGCCACTGCCCGTCGTCCTGCCGTCGTGCCCGCTCGAGGATGGAAGTATGATGCAATCCGATTGAACGCGTAGGATGGACGCACGATTCGTGCGATTCTGGGTGCGCGCCGCAAATTGCGCGGCGGAATTCGTGATGATTTGAACGACTCTGACGCCTACTATTGAACAAACTTGAAGTAGAGTAGATTAGTAGGATCGGCTGACCATACCCAACTATTCTACTCCAAGTTTGGGCCCCAACAATAGACGTCAGAGTCGTTCGAATCGGACCGAATTTCGCCGCGCAATTTGGCGCGCGCACCCAGAATCGCATGAATCGGCACACGCCCGACGCGTAGTGATTGACTTTGGCATGGAAGCCCAAAGGCGCCGAGCGGTCCCAAGCCACGTCACCCCCGCGAGACCTAACGTACTGGGTTCGAGCCTCCTCCTAGGTTTACTCGTTATTATCGTAGTTTTTATTTGCTGACGTTTGATATTTCCTTTCATGAATATATTAGGTGTGTGCATTAATTTCCGCCGCCGAATTCCAAGGGTCGGTGCGCGAACCATGTTAGAGGTTTACCGGTGAAACCTGTCATATTCTGTAGTATAAGGTATTGGTTACCTACTTAAGGGCAGACAGGTCAGTTTTGCCCCAAGATCCTGTTGCTCTCAAACTGATTGGTCACGGAGTGATGGACCGTTTCCCCGGGAGGCCCTTCCCCTGCTGTTTGATTTTAAGAAAACTGGCATTGTAGCCCACCGGATGCTTCTATGGGGGACAAGCTTCATCTGAACGAACCTGCTGAGATAGTTCCTCTTCGCTCGAGAGCTTGCAACGAAAGCTGAATGTTTATTACCAAAAAGTGCGTGCAATTGGTGGTGGGACCAAAAGGGTGTTTTGAACTATGAGCTGCAGAGCCCAAACGAAACTGTTACTGCTGACCGCTACGAACACTTGACAGTTTGTAGGATGCTCTCACCTAAAAGCTCACCTTAATAAAGAGAATATCATGAGGTGCTGTTCTACCACGACCACGCCAGACCCCATGTTGCGAAGAATGTCCTTTAAAAAAATTGCAGTTGCTGGATGGGATCAGCTTGTTCAGCCCGCATACTCTCCGAATCTTGCTCTTTCTGATTGACACCTATTCCGGTCCATGCAAGTTAGTTTGGTAGCTACACGCTTCCGGAATGCCGAAGAAGTACGAAAATGGGTGGATAACAGGATTGTCTCAAAAAATGAAGACTTTTCTAGACCCGGAGTCAACAAGATTCCAGAATGATGGTAGGAAGTTGTAGCTAACGATGGGCAATACATTGGTTAATGTACATTTAGCTTGTAATAAGTATGTTTTTGCACGTGAAAAACGGCGGAAATCAATGCACACACCTAATTTGTATATAAGGTGTATTTCCTTTTTATCATTTCTTCCCTTTGACGTATTATTATTCTTTTTATTGGCGTACCCATGAAGGACTGCGTAAAATATTGTGTTGGTAGTTTAATATCGTAGACGGTCACGCTGTGAAAGGTTATATCTGGTTCGATTTCGAAGTTGGGCTGTGCTTAGGCTATCCCGTGTTGTAGGACATAGCACGCGTAGGGTGATAGTTGGAGTGTAGGATCAGCATAGGGGCTGCAACGGCCAAAGTAACGTCCCGCGTGGCAAATGGGGCGAGAGGGAGCGCAGCGTAAGACCCCGATCAGGGGTGGCCTATCTACAGCGAGGAGCAAGGCGTCTCCGCCGGCGCGACAGATGGGAACAGTGTGAAATTTTCTTTCTTGAGCATAACCAGTAAGTTTGGTTCCGAACTTCAGAATGCTCTCATTTTTTTCTGTTAAGCTCGTCTGTGGGTCGGTCGAATAGTTTTTCTTTTCTAGTGTATTGAATTTCTTTATCCCCTTCCCTTCAGATTCCAAACACCGCAACTCGGTTCATATGTCCTCTTATTGTAAATAAGAACTTTTGGACTGAATGTCGGTGCTTGCCAACTGTGGTCCAGGTGAAAGTTGTACAGGCGAATGAATCGCTTACCCACACAAAATCGAACATTCAAGGGTCGAGAACGATGAGGAGGCCAATTATCCGTTATCTTCTAAACAATGTCGTCTTCATACGCTGCTAGACAGGACAAGGGCAGAAAAATCATTAATCGTAGGAGCTCCACCTGCTGAAGGAGAACGGCTAGGATGAGTCCCATATATTCCGACAGATTTTGCTTGGGGCTTCATGGGCCGTGCAAAAGTATTGCTTCCCACGTGGAGAATTTTTTTTGTAGTTTCTTCTGTATTAACTCCTATTCCTCACGTTGAATTATCAAACACTGCCATCTGATCAGGAACACTGTAGTGAAGGGGGCCAGGATCATCGGAGAAGATAGAGATGAGTTCAGATTCGGGGCTAAAAAAAGGCCGTTCTTTTTTTGTGCTATAGGCTGAGCAAATCTTTACTATTGCCACACAACATCTATTCTTTATCATGAGAGCCACAAGGGGGCACGTTCTTCCGTCATGAAGAAGAGATTGCTATGGGCACCGTACTGTATCGAACAGCTACTTCGAAACAGACCCAAATGCACTTTTTATTTTCCCCCCCATTACATGGAGTACTTGGGTATTGGCCTCATGAATACCAGAACGTATATTCCCGTAATTAAATGTCATTCGAGGTTTTTTTTTNTTTTTTTTTAGCTATAAAAGTGATAAGGGCTCTGAAGGCGGTAACGATATCGGTGGGATGGTGTGCTTTACGTCTCCATGTGAGTCATAACTGAGCATTTAACTCATGCACAGCGTGACATCAGTCACTTCCACGTGCAACCTTGTAATTTAGTCAAACGTTATTGATCAGGCATTGCTGAAGTTGCACTTTGCAATTAGCCTAGAGGATTTTGATTCGTGAGAAGATGGTGTTCAATGATCGTTGAGATTGAACCAACTTTTTGGCTCGAAGCAGCTCGTAATAGATCTACTAAGGGCCCTAGAGACATCAATGATTTCTCCTTCGCTAAAACTTGTTAGTTAGTTAGGGCTTGTGATCGTTCATGGTTCATCGTTCAGGTGATTGGTAATGGTACATGGTGATAGAAGTTGGTGGATTTGGAATTACAACAATGAGCGCAACCTCTATAGGTAGGACAAACTAAATCATAAAATGCGTCGCAATACAACAGACTACGAATTTGTCCAAACCTCGGACTGTTTGCACCTCGCACAATGCGGAATCAACCGACAAGTGGAGATTCTTGTTAAGCCGTGCTTTTGCTTTTTTCCTCACCAGAGATCCTTTAATGTTTCCATCTCATTTCTGGACCCTCACATTCTCCTTTATCGTATATTAAAATAAGAACATTAACATACCTCAGATAAGGTGGATGTTTATTTGAAAAAGCTTATTTTCTAACCTGTAGTGCAGAAAGAAATAAGAAGAGGAGTTTCGCCAACATTGCAGCCTATTATATAGTTGTTTTCTGTGAGCCTGGAAGATGACCAATACTTCCAAAATTGTGAAACGACCTTTACGATGAAACGGAGCACGAACAAGATAACTAGATTAGTAAAAAATAGTAATTCTCGAGCATTCGCATTCAATGTAGTAACAGAGCGAGGGCACACTATCGCGTGGTCATTGGCTCGAATACCAGGTTTGTATCCGCGTGGGGTAAACAAGGCTTCCACCTCTCCAGGGTCGGGTGAACGGTACCAGATTCTTCCGAGAAGACAGAAGCACTGATTTATGGATTTGCTGGCCACTGAATGTAATTGTATAGGTCACATAAGCATTCCATACGCCACTGCGATCCTTATGGAAGTCGAATGCGGGAGCGCATCCTTGAGACGGGATTGGTCAATGCCCAACACCTTGGTTTTTTCTGGGCAAAGTGGGAGTTTCCAATCTACGGATCATTTATACATAGTGTCACTCGCTGAGGCAATCTTTGTTATACCATTTTCACAGTTAACGTCAGCGCGAATCTTAAGGTCATCTGCATAAACCTTACATAATAATAATGAAAAATTGATAATGAGTGTGAAGCTGTGGTAGAAAGCAATGGCCAATAACATCTCTAACCATTTCTGTTGACGATTCCGGCTTTTGGTGGCAGACATATGAGCATAGTGTTAATATGATACGAATANGATGAGAATTGATAGTGGACACAAAATGTGATAGCGAGTTATGATAGGCAAAAGTGAAGGGTAAAGATCGCTTTATTCCCAGGGCAAGCGACTGACTGTAGAGCAAGATCAAGTATTCAAGAAAAGGACGTCAGTGAGCATTGATCCAGAGTAAAGAGGATGCCATCTTTTATGCTTTATTTCAATTATGCTTTGTTCCGTCACAATTCTCCCGATGATCTTCATAAAATAAGTTTGCAAGTCTGACAGAGCTTTTCTCCCGAACTGTAGTTCCCATCAAAAAACTTCCAGCAATATCGTTGATTTTGTGCAGCACTACTATCTCTACTGTACAGTAAAGCCCAACATTTTCTCTTCCCAGTTCCACTGCAGCTTTGAAACTTTATTTTAA